ATAGTGATAAATCTGAAAAAATAAGATTTCTTTGGGTACCTTTTTTCTTTACCCAATATCCTGCATGTACCTCTCTAATCTGCATATAAAATATGTATTAGGCCAAAATTTATTTCAGAATGATCATAAAACGATGTCTGAGGCAGAGGCAACCTTTTAGTAACCAGTTCATGTAACAACTTTCTGTGATGTAGCTTTTAGAGGCATTAAACACTTCAGACGTCTCGTTCCCATCACCACCACTGTGAGCAATTCCAACTCTCTTTCAGTGGAGCATTTCACATCAAACCACTCTGAATGACTTTGTGTACATCCTAATGATTGAACTGTGAAAAATCGATGGAACTCCCCATTAAACAGTTTGATGAGTCATAGGCAGTTGCACTGTGTATGCTGTTACAGTGAAATGTGCCATTAACTCCAGTTGATCACAGTTAGATCTCAAAATACATGCATAATATTCCATTTTCCAAATTTCACTTTGCTGTTAGCCTCAAGTGTTTTCCTATTATGTCCTGCAAGAACACAAAAAGAACTTCTAACATTATTCTTGCAAATGAAAAACATATCAAATACAAGTAGGAATTTAGCTTGTGCAAGTATTACCCTAAGGCATGCAGTAGCATATGGCTGTGCTGTTGGCTGTCTGTAGGCACTACGTTCCTGTACTCCACACATGCTTTCACACTGCTGAGTGCCGTACTGGAGAGAGCAGCAGGCCAACGCTTTTTGGACCTCATGCAGAAGCTTTTCCGAGAACTCGGCATGCTCAACACAGTGCCGGACGAAAACGACCCCATTATATACAACCGCTCCAGGTAATCATCATCTTCATTATCTAGGGTGGGAGGATGCACCATCATATTGTTACTGGTGGTATTTTGTTTTCTTTCAAGGTGAATCACAACGTTTAGATTTAATGTTTAACTGGCGTGGAACTTAAGTGCACATAAACAAGTACACAGAGAACATACTTCAAGTACACAGAAAACATTTTAATGAACAATTGCTGTTTATTTGCTGAAAGAAAAAAAATACATAAAATGTGGCCTGTGCAAAAGTTATGACACATTTAATATTTTATTTTAATTTTTCCAATATATTCAATTAAAAAATACAAATTATGGCAGAAAAATGCCATAATTTACCTTTGTTCATAGAGAACATGTTAACATTTTCATGTAGAAGAGCCAACAAAATGTAATATGATGTAGGCCTACAGATTAAGGGGTTCAGGGTTTTGCTTGACTGAAATGCTGAGAAAATATCTTGTTTCTTCCCTGTTACTGTCACTAGGGCAGTATACAGCTAGTGCAGTCTTATTATACTTACATGTGCTTGCCTTCCTCCTCCAGGTCTTATCATTTCAATAAAAAGGGGCGCATAGTGAACTGTCCCTATGTGGACAACTCCTACAAGTGGGCCGGAGGTGGCTTTCTGTCCACGGCAGGTGATCTGTTGCTGTTTGGGAACGCTATGCTCTACAGCTATCAGATAGCAGACCTGAAGGACACGAGCGGCCTCCTACCAGGCTTTCTTAAACCTCACACAGCCAAAGCCATGTGGGCTCCTGTGGATAAAACTGAAGCTTCGTGGGATAAGGATGGACTGTATGCGCAGGGGTGGCTGGTTGTGGAGAAGCAGCAGAAGTATGGGCAGTGTCGCTTTCGCAGACATTATGTCTCACACACTGGAGGCGCAGTGGGAGCGAGCAGTGTGTTGCTGGTTTTACCCAGCGAGACTTTACAGGTCCCTGGACAGAGAGTTGCTCTTCCACAGGGAGTTGTGGTAGCGATCATCACTAACATGCAGTCAGTAGGACTCAACACTACTGCTCTGAAGATTGCGTATGAGTTTGAGAAGGCGAGGGACGCGTGAAGTGAAATTAGTGCAGGTTAATATCTAATACGGGATGTACTCATTCAATCAATTGTCTTCATTTGAAACCTTCGAAGGATTTGTGCATCTCATATCAGAATGCTGCCCTGTGTACTTTGTTTACAGTGCTGAGGTGTGAATGCCACTAAGAGCCAATCACACATTTTAAATTGCACTTTAGTGCCATTTATTTGTATTTTGTCTTACTGATTTAAATAAATTTTGTATGTCCTTTGATTAGTATTTTAAATAAATGTATTATTATCAACCTTTTTTCCTTACTCATTTTTTATTCTTTGGGAAGATTATTGATTTTTATCTGTTAAATATAAATTAGTTTTGATCCTATACATTACCCTTAAAATAAATTAATCCTATCCATCCTTTGTTCTCATAAAGAAAGACACAAATATCATTGCTCTGTCTAAAGAAGAGGCAGCCTTTACATGTCTAAAGTGAAGTGTGTAGATATTTCCACTAGATGGGGACTTTTCTCCTGCTTCTTTCCTCCTCCTCTAAAGAAGAGATTACTTTTTGTCTCAAATCTAAGTGTGTAATGATTTCTTAGAGCAATATATCAGAATTTAAAATGGTCTCTTCTAAAAGCCTAGATGTCTGGGTGCATTCCATCAGAGTGAAGTGGATGGGGAGGGGACAGGCGCTTATGCTATTCATGGATCCACACTTAAATGACTGGGTTGATACCACTAATGAAAATGCTTCCATTTTGCAGTCCTTTCTAATTTAGTAGAAGTATTTTCAATGCAAATTGTATTATCAGCATAACAATTTGATTAAAAAGTAGGATCTTTGAAATTCTAACATGAATTTAAGAATATCTTAGTATTTGATATGTCCTTCTTTTGCTTTAATGACAGTGTGCACTCACGCTGGCATGGACTCTATAAATTTGTGCAAAAGCTTCTGATGAGTAGATCAGATCCTCCCGAGAGTCTTCTCATGTGTTTCAATGGAGGAAATAAGACACAAAAAAGACCTTTTTGTTTAAAGGCCTCAACATGGTCAGTGTCACGAATTTGCCTAAATTTGCTAAATTTGAATAGTGACCAAGAAATAGAGCAGAATCTTTTATATATTTTATTTTCATTTTACTTGTCATAACTTTAAAAAAGTTATGACAAGCACAATTCTAAAGTATTCTGTTTTTTATTTCCAAATTTAAAAGAAAAAAAAAAACAGTTTCACAGGAGCTTTCATGACGTCATATTCTAAATCCATAGGCATTAATATGGAGTTGGTCCCCCTTTGCAGCTAAAACAGCTTCCGCTCTTCTGGGAAGGTTTTCTACAAGATTTTGGAGTGTGTCTGTGGGGATTCTTGCCCACTCATCCAGAAGAGCATTTGTGAGATCAGACACTGATGTTGGACGAGAGGGCCTGGCTCACAATCTCTGTTCTAGTTCTTCCCAAAGGTTTTCGATGGAATTGAGGTCAGGGCTCTGTGTAGGCCAGTCAAGTTCTTCCACACCAAACTTACCCAGCTATGCCTTTATGGACATTGCTTTGTGCACTGGGGCTCAGTCATGCTGGAACAGAAAAGGTTCTTCCCCAAACTGTTCCCATAAAGATGGAAGCATACAATTGTCCCCATAGCATTATCCCTCCTCCACTAAATTTTACAGTTGGAACAATGCAGTCAGGCAGGTAACGTTCAAATCCAGACTCATCTGTCAGATTGCCAGATAGAGAAGCGCGATTCTTTGCTCCGCAGAACACGTTTTCACTGCTCCAGTCCAGTGGCTTTACACCCCCATCATCTTTATCACACTGTACAGAGTGATTTGCGTTTGTGAGTTACAGGTTTAAGATTTTAATTAACAGTTGTGTGACACAGAACCCTAAGACTTATTACTGGCATTGCCTTAGTACTGGGAGTACGCAGCCTTTTACACAGCTGACACAACTGGGGCAATGAACACACATTTTGTAGATTAATACTGTTAGACTTTATTTCCTTCTTATGATAAAACAACAAAAACATTCAGAACATTTATTACAAAGGATTGTTTTCACAGGGTTTCATAAGTGGTTTATTATCTTAGGATCTGTTTTATGTGTTGAAGGCTTTGGGGATCTGAAAATAACTTGGCATGTGCACATGAAGCAGAGTACAGACATGTTGTTTTTACTGTTTGATTAACAAAGTATAAAAAATTTTGAATATTTGTACACATAATCTTAGAAGGGGAATTCCACAGATTTTTCAAAATTTATGCACAATTAAAATGTACATGTACACAAAGTTATTCATAGTAGCTTGTGAAATGCTCTTTTCTAGAATTTCTTTTTTTCATTTTTAATCACTGTGCTGATAGGAACCAGACGTCCAAAGGATTTAATGCCTCTAAAAGCTACAATGCTGGACACCTAAGACATTTCTTAAATGTATTTTCTTTAAATCCCACTGAGATGTACATGCAAGGCATTGTAAGGCAAAATAGTCTCTAAATAAAACTTATGTTTTGGGATTTATCCCCAACATTATCAATATTATTTATATAAACCAGAAAACACATGTAGGGTCACTGATGGTTTTGGATAGTAAATAAAGTGTTATATATGCCTTGTAGACACGGCCGCTCCTGGTTCTTATCACCACCACTGTAAAGAAGTAGATACTTCTCACCACAGTGTACTGCCTCACATCAAACCACTCTGAATGACTTTACATCTCAAACACTTGAGTTATTTGGAAATTTTGAAAACAATGTGGAATTCCTCTGTAAGTGTAGTGTCGGGTAAGCTCCTCTTAAACATAACAGGCACCGCTGCTCTTCTGCATCACTGCTTTTCCTTTGAATATATATATATATATATTGGCAGTAGGTCACAACTATCAAGGACAGTAGCTTTATTTGAAATGTATTTCAATACAATTTTTAAAATAAACTGTAACCCTGGACACGAGCGTCTTCCATCACATATTTAACTTATGCATTTCAAATGTCTTTCATTTTAAAGATAGTTGAAAAATACTTATTTACATGCTTTAATTTAAATATTAAGAAAGATAGAAAGCAGAAAAAATGAATAAGTGACTGTTAGAGTCATTGAGAAGTATTCAATGCCTCCACCAGAGGGCGATTTTCAGAAATTCACATCATCCACATAAGCATGCAAGTAAGCAAGTATTTTTCTTAGTATGTTTTTTTTTCTTCAAATAACATTTAATGCTGCTCATGGTAAATCACTTGCACCCCTTGACTTCACTTTCCAATACTCTTGACCATTTTGAGGCTGCTTTCTCTCATTTTGGCCTGCTTTCCTTTTCATTCTGAAAAAAAGAGTAGAAAACGTGTGAACTCTAAATTAAACCCTTAAACTACTTGTCTATTTAGTTATTGATCTTACGATTTCTTATTCATTAATTATTAAAAACTGTTCAGTAATTACTTTGAAATTAATATGTTATGCAGTCATAAGAGTGAGGAACTGAGGTGTGGGCCTTGCAATTTAACCCCTTAAGATCCCAGGCTTATTACAGCCTAAGGCTTATTCTTTATTAAGTACATGGACAGCAATAATGGCAGAGCAATTCTTCAGTTAGACAGATGTATGAAATAGAAGCCTGGATCTGACTCCTGGCCACTGAGCAATTCATCTAGGAACAGTACTTTTGAGAGAGTTAAATCCTGAAATAATGCTAAAGCACAGGTCATATGTGAATGTGCTGTTCCACCTTTTCATTCATTAAATCCAAATTGCTTTTGTTTTCACTCACTTGCAGATGTAGTAGATGATAACAGCCAGCATCACCAGGATGAGGATGAGGAGGATGATCACAGCAGCGATCATACCCTTCTCCTCACTATTGTTCGAAATGCTTAGCAGCTGGAACTGCTCACATCTGCTGCCTTTGTAGTTTTCTCCACACCTGTGAGGAGAGGAGAGCTCATGGTTTCATACAGCGTGAGTGACCTTAACTGATCTTACACATTGACAGAAACTAGACTGAGAGTGGAGATGTGTAGTGTAACTTAAGCCCATGCTCGAGTGAAAGGATCGTTACTCCTTTGCAATAATGACACAAGTATAAGTAAATGTATCCTAGCAAAATACAGCTTTAGTAGGAGGGAAAAAAGTAAAAACTACTTAAGGGGGAATTCCCTTTTAAATTCCTTATAGAATTGCAGTGGCATCAGCATGGGAAGTGTGTTAGGCTCTATTCTTCTTCTCTATTTTGGGTTTCTTTTTGCTTAAAAATAAAATGGTAAAGCTTGAAAGTAAGAGGTCTGAGCTACAGCAAAAAGTCCAGCCATAAAATGGTTATATTTGTGTTGTAGACAGTGACCCCAGGTTCCTATCACCAGTACTGTAAAGAAATCAGTAAGTTTCTTTATAGTGCACCATTTCACCTCACACCACTTTGATTGACTATTTGCATCTCAACCACAGAATTATGTAGAAATTTTGAAAAGTCAGTGGAATTCCCCTTAAGTACATCTAGCTGTGTAAAGTGACCTAGTTACAATCCAGCTGTAATTGAACTAGACGTATGAAATAAATAACACTTATGGGTGTAGTCATATTTGCCTATAAACATACATAGACATACATAAACATACAATTAGCACAGGTATTAGAGATGCAGGATCATCTGTGCTTTTGCCTCACTGAACTGCTGTACTTATTGCAGTTGAATAGTAGACTGTATACACCTACACAAAGCAGAGAACTTGAAGTGGACTTTCAGAGCTAATTAAGTCCAGAGGACCGTCTGTCTATTACTGGAGGTTGTTTTATTTTAAGTTGTTCCAGACATGTCCAGCGTTTTCTATGGGGCAAGCCTGAACTATTTGCTCGGAGCTTCTATTTGCAGTCTCTCTATACTTATTACAGAAAAGCCTGTTACAATGCATTCAGACACTTACACACAGGTGGGTGTGGACACCGAGGGAATTTTAAAGCACTTTCCTCCATTCATGCAGTAGGACACCTCTGACCCAGTGCAAGGGTCACCGTGTTCTAAAAAAAGATGAAAACAAAAGAGAGGATTATCTGTCTGCCTGTCTCTCTTTCACTGTGCTGGATTTTCATGATTCAGAGAACATAATGCTGACATGTTTTATTTTCTGATAACAATAATCTCACATAGTCATCTGAAAGGATGATGCAATACATGAGAATGTACCACAACAGTTGTTCACTAATCTTGTGTAACCAATATGTAGAAATACTGAAGTAGATGACAGTGAAGGCGGTGAGATATTTCTGCATTTTTACCTGCCATCATGAGAACTGCTTAAAAAGACCTTGTCACCGAAATGATTTGTCCTCCTCACTTTTTTATCCTTTGCTTCCACCTGACAGCAAAACACACGTTAAGTCATTATTCATCATTCCTGTATGCAGGAGATCCCCCCACCATATGAGTTTGGCTCCTGTATACAGCCCTGGTCAAATGATGTTTTGTTGATGTTGTGAAAATACGTTAACGCATGCTCTACAGAGAACACACTTCTGCACATTTACTGTTTAAACATGTGGCCTGTGCAAAAGGTGTAGTTATGTTTTTTTTTCTCTGCAAATGTTGAAATTGTGCACTAAAATTAGCATGCCATTAGAATGCCATATTTAAGTTTGTTCCCTGTAGAGGATATACTACGAAAATCAACCTGTACATATAATTTGACCAGGGTGGTTAAAAGAATACAGTTAAAAGAACATAGGTTTGGTTCCTGACTTCCATTCAGTCATCTAGCCATTGTATAGATTTGTTAAATGGCATCAGCAGCACATCTGATTCAATATAATGGAGGATTGATTAGCTGATGCAGGTATTGGATGGTAATTGTAAATACTATACTGATTAGTCGTTATTAGTTTTTGCACAATACAGTGTGTGTGTATATATATATGAAGAGTTTCATATTAATAAGTTGTATATTAATAAGTGCTATTAATCACAGTATATCATTGATATTTCAATAATATCTTGTATGCGTAAAGCCCTCTCTCAAGTGTATATCATGAAATATGTTTTAGAATTTTAAATATATAGTGATGTCATGATGCATACTGTATACATTGCATTCACAAAACACAAACATGAAATACTTGTGTTGACAGATTTTATTTAAATTATCATAATTAATAATAGATTGTACTTAAATCATTGTGCTTTCATTGATTGTAGCTGAATATAGTGTATGATAATAATAAAAATAGTAATGAACTTACAATTGGAATTAACTGGTAAAAAATTGGTTCCCAACTCTGTCAAACCATAACATGTTTGTGTTTTATGGTGCAGTTCTACAGGTATATTACCCTTTTTTGACATTTTGTTTCAGATTGTTTAATATCTTAAGATGTTGCTCTCTACGTTTTAAGGATATAGTTGAGAAATTGAAAATGACCTACCAGAGCGGAGAAGTTCCCAAGTAAGTTGCCTCTGCTTGTCCAGGTGAGCTGCTCTGGCTTGTTGAAGTGACTTGTGAAAGGAAAGTCATTGTGGCTCTTAGAGTCACACAAGCATGCCAGAAATGTTGTGGTTGCTGTTTGTCCACATTGCAAATGGTACAATTAACTCGCCATCCACCAAGGGGAAAACACGGTACGGAAATCTAATTGGGAGGGATCATTAGCTCACAAACTAACAACACTATTCTGAATGGGTTTTTTCCAAATGTACCTGTTTACATTTTTATCATTTCAGCCATTGATCAGATTGCCTGCATGCAGTGAATCATGAACCTCTTCTCTGATTGTGTGAGGAAACACGAACGTGTGGTTTGAATAAATGATGACCTGCTCTAACTGAGACTGTACTTCAGGTTCTGTACAGGCTGACAGCATCTGGTGACAGACTCAGCTATGTCTGCTATGCTTAAAAGGAAGTTCGCTGAACACCACAGGTATGTGTGGAACTGTGGGAACTTTGTTAACTCTCAGTGTCCTGTTTACATTCTGTCTTCCAGGAAACAGCAGGAATGGAACATGCGTGTTTGCTATGTGAAAACCGTTAGCAAGAGCACTCCTCCACAGCCAAAACCATATGAAGGGGTGAGGAGTTTTGTGTAAGTGTTTTAGCCAAGAACAATAATCTGAGCGTTTCTGACTTTAATGTTGTCTCTGTTTTGTGTTGTTTTGTGAGTCCACACCTAGAGTGAGCCCCTCAATACTACAATTGGAACACACTAAAAAGTAAAACTGCATTTAATTGCAATCATTCACAAACCCAATGCTAAAAAAAGTCAGGACACTCAGTTAAATGCTAATAAAAACAGAAAGCAGTGATTAGTAAATTCTGTTTGACCTGTATTCAATTGAAAGCTGTACAAAAACAAAGCATTTGATGTTTTGCCTTATGAATTCACTGTTTTTGTATATATACACTTATTCCAAATTTGATGTCTGCAACACTTGCCAAAAAGAGAGAGAGACAAGAGCAAGTTTACCCCTGTGTTACATCACTTTTCCTTTTAACAACACCTAATAATAATTCTGGGATTGAAGACACAAACTAATCCAGTTTTGAAAGCAGATGTTTTGCCATTCTTCTGTTAGACAAGTCTTAAGCTGTGAAACGTACGGGTCCTTCATTGTTGTGTTCTGCAAATGTTTGAGACAGTTCTGGACTGCAGCCAGGCCAGTCTAGCACCCGCACTCTGATTACACAGCCATGCTGCGGGAACATGTGCAGAATGTGGCTTGGCATTGTCATGTTGACATAGTCGTCCCTGAAAAACAAATGTTGTCTAAAAGGCAGAGTATGTTGCTCAAAATGTGTTCAGCTTTAATGATGCTTTCACAGATCTGCAAGTTGCCCACAAACACACCCCATACCATGATAGATGCAGGATTTTGAACTTTAGGCTGGTAACAATCTGGATGATACTTTTCTTCTTTGACCTGGAGAACATGACTTCCATTATTTACATAACAATACACATTTACACTGTGCAACAGCTCACAGATGAGCTCAAGCTCAACCCATCCTTATTCATAACAGACTAGGCCTTTTCTGGATGCTCCTTCTATATACAAGCCTGATTGCAACACCTGTTCTAGCTGTTTTTCAAACATTTCACTGTGTTCCAAGTCTTAAATTGCCCCTGTCCCAACTTGGAATGTGTCACAGGAACTGATTTCAGAATGAGCATATATTTATAAAAAAACATTGAAGCTGATCAGGTAATACATTACACATCTTGTCTTTGTACTGCTTAAATACAGGTCAGAGTTTAATAAATCACTGTTTTATGTTTTTGTGCATTTCCCATACTGTCCGAACTTCGGAATGTCCACACCTAGAATGAGCCCCTCAACACTACACTTAGGACAAAATAAAGAAGTAAAAATGCATTTAATTGCATTCATTTACAAACCTATTTTAAAATGTATTTCATCAGCCCACTTTTGTCTTACCGTTTACTTACTTTGGGCAATAATTGGGTCGTAGATGCAAAAAAAAAGCTCATTTGGTCCCTTCAGCCATCCTTTGTTTTTATTACAGCTTCTGTTCTTTTCAGCGGACTGATTTTCAAAGAAACCTGAAGGGATATTTTTCCACACCTTCAAAGTTCAGTTTTAGACATTAGTTGCATTTTTTACATCTCACAACCTAAGTAATACCAAAGACATTTGTTAAGGTCTGGACTCTGAGGTGGTCAGTCCATTGTTCCAAGAACACCCGATGCATCTTCATTTGGTTTGCCATTTTTCTCTTATTTTGTCTATTTTCTCTTCTCAGTATCAGCTTCTTGACAGCTACACATCCTTTCAGACTCCTTTCAGATAGTGTTGTCTATTCACAGTGGAAGGATGGATCCATCTATCTATCTATCTATCTATCTATCTATCTATCCATATTCTATTCATGGAAAACTGATGTACTCAAATGATGTGTACACAGATCATGTAAATCCAATACATTACTTCTTTCAGTGTGTATTTTATTCTCCTTATGGTCTCCTTCCATCCTACCCCTCTTCAGCACCCTCTCCAATGTCAACCTGTTTTCTACCAGGAGAGATGCCATCCCAGTCATGACCAGTCCTGGTTTCTGTATTTAGGAGAAATTGCCCCCTGCTGCTGATGTGAGGTTCTGGTTATGGCTGTGGGTTTTGTCAGGGAGAGCTTGTCCTAGATGAGCATCAGAATAAGTAGGACGGGATATAAAATTAAATAAACCACCAGACTAATGACTGACGATTTTAAACATTTGTTAGCATTTTAGTGAAGACCAAGAAACCACTTACCATGAAAGAAAAATGTACCATCTATCATGGGGGGCTGGAAATGATGTTATGGGCTATTTATATCTCCAACACACATGCTCTCCTACACACACACACTCACACTCACACACACACCATGACGACCCATTAGTCATTTGTGAATAGTTAGAGAGGCATTTCTTCATGCAGCCTAGCTCAATGTCACCCGTGGCAGGGAAGGAAGCGGAATCACAATGAGCCTCAAAAAACGTAGGCAAGCGGCATTTCACGTGATTGATTGATGCTTCCTTTAACCATCGAGTAGTAATGGTCGTTGAATGACAAACGCTTACGCCAATTGACATCGAGAGGAGGACGTCGTCACGTTTCCCCCCCTTATTGGAAGCGCCAGAGGAGGAGGAGGAGGAGGAGGAGGTGGGGTGCAGAAATGACCGTGGGCAGCCAGGTAGCCTCTTCGCATTTGGGTCGACAGTAAGGTGGTCTGATAGATGGGCCCTGTGGAGGTTATCCCGAGGATACACCTCATCAGGCAGGCAGAAGCAAACGGGCACGCGTACCCGAACTTGGCGGAGTAGAAGGCGCTGAGGGGGCTCGACGCTCGCGCATGCAAGGACGCTTCGAGCGTTTCGAGCACGGTGAATCCACGGTGGATGCACGAGTGGCGATTTCAGCACCTGGACAGCTCCTGGCTGGGCGCATGGAGTCCCTGGCGTGACGGTAGCGCTAGGGGAAGCCCCCCTCAGTGAGAGCGAGCCGTGTGCACAGTGCCAGTGCCCTCCTCCTGCCTCAGCCTCAGCCATGCTCCTCTCTGCCCGCGCGCTGGCCGACCCCTCGCGGCTCCTCAATGAACGATGACCGCCTCGCGGCACAAGCTTCTTCTTCGTCGTGCCCCTGTTAGCCACAAGAAGAAGAAGCAGCAGCAGCAGCAGAACGGATGCTTGGCGCGCGCGGAGCAGCCCAGGCTAGCAGCCCTGAGCTCATCGGCTAGGGAGACATTATCATCATCATCATCACCACCACCATCATCATCATCATCACGAGGGCGAGGGAGACACGATTAAACTTCCAACAATGTAAATCCCCCAGAAAAGAGGTAGGTTCGTGTTTTTTTTCCTTTTTCTCAGCTAAGCATGCTGCCACTTTTTTTCAGAAGCCTCCAGCTCCAGCTCGTGTGATAATTACTCCTCCTCCTCTCCCTCCCCCTCTTATTTTACCAATTATTGCTTTAATCAGTGCACGTTTGTCATCCTGGCGTTTCAGCAATCGCATCGTCGATGCCTTTTTGTCCTACACTGAAAGGAAACCTTGGCCTTTCCTGGCGACGTGTCCTATTTCGTGTTGTTAGTGGCTAATGCTTTTAATCAGAAGACGGACCCCAACCATTAGATCCTCTAGGCCCTCGTAAAATGATGGAAATGCATGGCATGCCTTCCATTTTCGCGGACAGTATGTGGGCTTGCGTCTGGATTAGCTCACGTACGAAAAAAAGAACTTGGGAAATTCCTTGTCACCTCTGAGTCGCTGGTGAGAGTGAAGCTAAAGCCTTGGTGTAGAAGGGCTGTCGTTAGGAAAGGCAAGTCAGAATAGCAGCCTGTGTGAAATGGTTGCTATATCTCTTAAAGAGTCACATTTCCCACTCACACGTATGTCTTTTTACTTGACTTTGGGCCAATGAACCGTGACGGTGATCAGCTGCTGAAGTTTCAGTGTGATGTAGAGGAGGGACCATGCAGGACCACCAGTGCCCAACAGCACAAAGCGGATAGTGTCATTGTTAAAAGCCTTTCTTCTCTTTGTAGGTGTGGCAGTGTAATTCTGAGGTTTGGAAACTTCATGACCAGAGAGCAACACTTACTAGAATGGACTCTGAAGTAAGTTGGAGCATCAGTGACTCAAAAATGGATTTCTGAAACTTTAAAGCTGTGGTGAATATGCTGTCACTTCTCGTGTTTCCAAAATGGTAAGAAGAGAGAAAGGTTCTTAACTTTTAATGGGCATGAATATAATAATGTAATGAAAATTTAAGTTATTCTGAACCAGTTGTCATAAAATGTTCACTCAGTAAAATATGATGATGTTGCTGTCATCTTATCAAAACCATGTGACTTTATTTTTACATCATTTGATTAAAGCAGCTACTATTTTCATATTTGTGAGTATTTCCCTATAAATGGATCAATAGAATAGAATAGAATACATTAAACAGGAATTCCACAGTTTTTTCTCAATTTCTGCAGAATTCAGTCTTTAAGATCTGAATAAAGTAAACAGTCAATTGTAGACA